AAAATGCGATTTTATTTATAGGATTTTCAAAATCCTATAAATAAAATCGCATTTTCCCCGTGTCCCTGGTACAAAGTTTTGATTTGTGTAATATATCAATATCGTTAATTGTATCAATTTGTATTAGGGTTTTTATTATGTTTTGTGTAACCATGGTAAACTTTTGGAACCTACCGTACAGCGTGGACTAAAGTACCCAGGGTACTTTACAATTTAAGCAGTATACATGGGTATTATAGTTGGAGGGATACTATGGTCAGCTTAGGGTATAAGTTGTACTATATGGGTGCCACAGTAATGTTTTAAGTGGTTAATCCATCTTTAGTACCCGGATATTTACATTCCCAAGTGAAATTAATCCGTCTTTAGTACCCGGGATACTTTACATTCTAGGTCTCTGAAAATCGAAAGGGGTATTATAAAGGGTCTTTTAGTCCACGCTGTATGGTACTGTACATGAATATATATAAACTTATATGACTTTACATAATATCTTACAAATATTTTATACCCTTCAGTAATACTACACAGAAAGGAAAGAAAATTTATATAAATTGTTAAGTGATTTTACATTTCCTCAAATTTATATTAAACAATTACGCAATATTATTTATGTGATATTACGTAAATATATGGACTTTCGAAGTTTGTGGTGCTGTTGCAGCAGCTCATATTAAGATTATTATGTCTAAGAAACATAAAGCTTTTCAAAAAAATAAATTTGCATACCTATTTTTAGATAAAAGTAGTTAGGGTAATAGGTTATATGACAAATTTCACAAATGCATTTTTTGTTAGAATACAAAATGTAATTCTTTAGACAATATTTAATTTACATGTTACATGAAAAATTCTTGTAATTTACACTCATTATATTCATTATCTTAATCTGATTGGCCTATTCAATATCCAAATAGAATTTCCTTTATTGTATTAATGATGATAACTATAGTGCTTATGATTCGGGATTCTAACGTTAGATTTTGAATTAGTTCCGCTACGACTATTAGAATTTAGATTGGTTCCGTTATTACTATTAGAATTTGAATTAGTTCCGTTATTATTATTATTAGAATTTGAATTAGTTCCGTTATGGCTATTAGAATTTGAATTGGTTCCGTTATCAATTAGATTGTGAATTGGTTCCGTTATAACCATTAGGATTTGAATTAGCTCCGTTATAAACCTATAGGAACGCATCTAGCTTGAGCGCATGTAAAGCAGTCTTGTTTCCAAACATGGCATTTATAATTATGAGGGCATTCATCGCTGCATGTTGGCAATACCTGGGTACAATAAACGCAATCTAATATTTTTCGTCGATTGTATATTAGCCCTAAATTAATGGACGATAAGAAAACGATAATATAAGTAAAATTTTATTCGTTAATCGTTATGCCGATCTTGAAGATTTGGCACTGGGGCGTGACCAATCATTGGATATGACAAATAAACGTTTACTACATGAACTTTATAATAAATGATTATTTGTCATTTCTATAATTGGCCACACCCCCAGTGCCAAATCGTTTAGATCGGCATAGTGATTAACGAATAAAATTTTACTTCCAGGTTTTCCATGTGCATCACTCATACAATACACATACCTGCAGGTGATGTGCCGCAATAGGCTTTTCCGCAAGTATAGCAGAAATTTTGCTGACATTCAAAGGTAGAGTTGCATGCTGAACATACATTTGTAGGGCAAGTAGCACATGCTAATGTAATAATTAAACCAGAAAATCAAGTTAAGCGTTACGCATTGATAAAGGCGAATACTTTTTAATATATAATTTAATAATAATTTACTTGGATTATTCTTAGGTTTACAAGTCCGTTCTGGGCACTTTGAACATGTAAGTTCAGTTAAAATGCAAACTTGACTGTTATCACATGGTGGATCGCATGCCGTCGGTGGTGTTGAACACTCTACACACAGGCTAACTAATATCGTTATTATTATTTATATGAATTAAGATTTAATAATATACTTATTTTAATATAAGCATAGTTTTGTTACTTACCAGCATTTACAAGCGTGTGATCGATTGTAACAACTAAAAAAATAGCAAAAGCAATAGTAAAAATGAAACAAAACTTTAATGCCATTGAGATAAAAATGGGTATTTTAAAAAAATCTGGAATTCGAGAGAAAGGAAATATTATAAGCTTTTATATAATTTAAATGGTGCATCTATTTACATTTTATTGTATTATAAAAAACGCCAAGGATTTTAGTGGCTTAACTCAACTTACGTATTTAATTGAATAAAACTATGTACGTACGTACTTTTAATAATTTAAAAAGGTTTGTTTGCTGTACGGCATATCATTGTTTGTTGCAGATTTTCAATTATTTCAGATAAATTTTTCAGGTAGATCCACTTCAGCTTGGGATGAACTTTCATAATACAATAACCAAGAAAATTGCGTTTTGAAATCAATTCAAAACAAATGACATTATTTTTGCAAGGTAGTCATTAACAATGAGAATATTACTATTACTGGATGTATCTAGGGATGGCACATGATTTATTGCTGTTTTCGAAATGGTTGAGAATAGTGAGCTTTACAAAAAATTTTTTTATGCGAATACCCGATTAGTTTAGAACACTGATCGATAATCGATTCCAATTTACATATGCACTTGCATAATTGCTTCAATGTTCTAAACTAATCGGGTTTTCGGGTATTCGCATAAAAATTCTTGCTATTCTCAACCATTTCGAAAACAGCGATAAATAAATTTAAAGATGACTAAAATCTTTTATTACAAGTATTTAGAAGATATAAATATATTTTTTAAATCGCAATGGTATCCAAAGATCGGTGTTCAAATTAAATATAGTATATATTATGTAATAAAAATCAAATGCTTTAAAATCACTTGTAAATCATTTTTAAGTCATCCCTAGATGATGTATCTTCAGTATTACTAATTTTCTTTCCTCAATTTTGTAAATAACACGGAGTTAATGATTAAATCCGGATTTAACTATTAAATCCGGATTTATTGTTAAATCCGGATTTAACTGTATTGTCACAACATTTCTGAAACAGATTCTGAGTGGACAGAGGTATATATAAATCCGAATCTTACAATCAAATCCGGATTTAACAATAAATCCGGATCCAAGTATTAACTCTAGTTCCGGCCCTTTGCTCCATTATATCAAAAGCTCCGTAATAACAAAATCTCATGATATATCAGATATTATAGTAAATCATAATTTCGGGTTCCATTATAATTCTCCGTATTAAGCAATATCCGTTATACTGTTGGAGGCAAAAGGGCAAGAACACAGACTACCCAATAACCACCAAAACAACACAACCAACCAACAAAATACCTAGTGGGCGGAG